GTAAAATCTTGCCAGTTTCTTCCCCCCACCCCCCCCCATTTTGGTCTCTTGCGTCTTATGAGGGAAACAATTTACTTTGAAGCCCTTGACAAACCAACCAAATCGATCCAATTGCAAATTAACACTGGTCTCGTTAAATAGTAAGTTACCCAATTACTGTAAGATTAGACCTTTGAATATACGCAAGAAGTAAGTTATTCCAACAGTTGGGAAAAAAGCAGAAATGGTTTGCATGGAAATTCAGCGTCATTAACCCTTCCCAAACGCGTGTGAGACGAAGAAGCATTGTCGAATAGACTATCATTGAAACTCAGTCATTTTGCAACAAGGTAGACATTAAGTGATAGTAAGAACTAATTCAAATTATTATGAAAGGAAAGATGCAAACTGAGGAATATCACCAATCATTAAAATAATGAATTTAATAGCATATGCCATAATTTGTTGATCGAATCGTGAAAGATAATTTTTGAACTTGTCGTGGCCAGTTAGAAAATCTTGTACAACTCAAATTCATAACTCTAATGCAGTGGAACAATTTGACATCTTGAAGTTTCTATCTGTTCCATTTTCCGACCATTTACCCACCCCACTTATCAATTGTTGAACTTGTTTTTCATTCCATATCAGTGACTTCCAGATATTAATATTTATAAACTTGGCTAGAAATGTACCTCTAAAATCCCCCCCCCCTCATGCATTACTTAAATCGCTTCTGTTAAACCTTATAGTTATACACCCTCAGTTAATAAAATTTGAATTGTGACTAGTATTGGATTTTCTGGCAAAAATTTTAATTAAGAAGAATCCGAAGTGATTTAATCACGGCTATATTATTTGATTAGCATTGAGCAATTGGATTATATATATATATATCACGAAGTAGGAAAATGATAGTTGAATTTTTTATCGACATTTATCTTGGTCCTTCGGGAACTGTCACATAGAAGTAAAGTGATTAGACGTGGTTTCTGACAAAGTTTACAGTTTTAAAATGCCACTTAAAAATATGCGATTCCCATATTCTTTTGTGCAACTGCAAAAGTAAATCTTAAAATCATATGATGCAATTTACTTTCCGATGCCTAAGGAAATGGAAATGTGAGAACTTTTATTGATTTTCCGATGTTAGAAAGCAACTAAAATCGTCTCACATAAAGTTAGAAAAAGAATCAATAAGTGAATATATTTGGAAAATGTTCTGATCTGTTAATGTTTATGCAATTTAGAAAAAGTTTATTCATTACATTAATTCGCTACTTTTAAATCCCTCCATATGCCTTTCGAAGTTGCTAGATGGTGCAATTGGCATCAACTGGTAGTAGGATATATTTCACAATTGAGCGGGCAATTTTCTACAGGGTGCTCTGCAAAAAATTTATTTGGACGAAAACTAAAACAGCAAAGACCTTTCGTGAAAACTTCCATATAAATATTAATCTCTTCTTAAATTTGCTCTTATCTGTCATATTATTCGTCAAATATCATCCTTCACTCTAGAACATGTTCCTTCTCGTGTAAATGAAAACGGTCTATAATCGATTTCCTAAAGAATATAGTAATTTAATTAGAAAAATATCTATCCATGTTTTATTTACATTCTTTCGACCTGCTCTTAAATATGTTTCTTTTAAAATAGACATAGGAACTTCAACTTGGATCGAATGAAGTTTTAAAAAAGTTGAAAATTATTGCGTAAAATAGTTTTTTTTTTAGAAATTTCTTTAGGGCAATTTGGAAGTCAGATCTGCGTACAATTTATTAAATGTATTGTACTATTTTGCGTTGTTTCTACTGCTCAACGTAATTTAATACACTGAACATAGCTACATCCATAATGCGACATCGCCGATGTACCTATGATGGTGGGNCCCCCCCCCCCCCCCACCCCCACCACCTCCCCCATGAACGGTTAATTATTTCGGTAAGATGTTGTTAGAAGAAATTTAATATGGACAATGATATGTCACAGAGTGATTTTAACAAATATAAAATAGGAGTCGCCAAAACTTTAAATCATAGGAGGAGAGAGGGGTAACAACAATTTCTAATTAAATTGACTGATCTAATTTCAACCTTACATGACTATTTGTAGAATATTTGCTCAATTGAAGGATTTGCATGGGAAAATTTCCATCTCAGGATATTCATTTATGCTGTCAGTATATTTATTTATTTAGTTATATCAAATGGCAGGCGTCCTGATGTTTATCATTAGCCCTTTAGTTTACTTCAGGCTTCACAGAGGGGAAGAAACATCAAATTGAAAAAGTCGACAAGGGGGGGGGGACAGAAGAGTGTTTCAAAGATGTAAGAGACAAACACAAAGGTAGATCAAAGGTGAGGTGAGTACTGTGTAAATATTCCAAGATGGCATCGAGTGAGGTGATGGTAGTTTGAAGTGAGAAGTCAACTGCCAGTCAAAAGATCTTTTTGACGTATGAATAAACGTTGTCCAGGGTGCACCACGTGGAGGTAAGTCTATCGCACACCCCATGTTGTCAGTATATCGATATGCCTTAACAGTGACACTAAATGTGAAGCCAATTTCACAATTACTACGGAGTTACTTGGGAATTGATTGGCAATGACTGAATAATTTTCAAAAAAATATTTTAGAATGTGTTAAAAGCGGTTAAGTAAAAAGAGAGCCTTCTAGAGCAGTTATTATTCTTCCCTCAGCTATTCTAGTGTCAGCTAATATTACCAAAATATTTATTTATATCAAATGGCAGGCGTTTTGATAGTTAATGTTGACTTCAGGTTTCACAGAGGGGAAGGAACATCAAAGTAAAAAATTCGAGAGGGGGAAAAAAGGTGAGGTGAGTACTGTGAAAGTAGTCAAATATGACATACAATGGGGTGAGGGTAGTTCGAAGTCAGAAGTCAACTGCCAGTTTGATAGGGATCATGGTAGTTTGAAGTCAACTGCCAGTTTGATAGACTTTTTGCCGTATGATTATACGTTGCCCAGGGTGCACCACAAGTAATATCCCATGTCTGATCGAATAAACATGATTTTTTTATTTAAGTCTTCTTTTGCACTTGGCCGTCAATGCATAATTTGAAATTTCATGATTTGCTAAAAACTAACTTCACCCATTTTCTTTCTCTGCACAGGGTACCTTATTGTTAAATCACTTTAATATCATACACCTTTACCAGTTACCTTTAGTAACCAGTAGCTCCTTAATTTAAAAGTGCCGTTAAAAGGCACTTCCCTGTTTTATTAAATTTTGCTCGCATAGTGATAAATGAAAAATTAAAACCACTAGCATCATTAAGACAGAAACCTGAATATCATTAGTGTCCATGTAGGCCATTTTTGCTGCTTTCTTATTGCACTTTGTATTGCATGCATCAGGGTGCACCCTGGAGAACGTATACTCCTACGGCAAAAAAAGTCTATTGATCGACTGTTGACTTCCGACTTCGAACTACCATGACCCCACTCTATGTCATATTCGACCCCCCCCCCCCCCACCCTCTCTAGACTTTTTATGATTTTGATGTTCCTCCCCTCTGTGAATCCCGAAGTCAACTAAATGTATATTTAATGCATCTTGGTCATTATTTCCGTCTCTCAGCAAATTTTTTCAGATCACGCACCCACTCATATTTACCTGCTTTATTTATGCGATTCGGCACAATAAAAACTCGTGTACACAGCTATTATCACGCGCAGATTTGTGCCTCCAGTTAAGAGAGACGCTTAATTTGAAGAACATTTCTATATTTTGTGCCACCTCATTACCAGCAAAATGAAGTTTTTTATCGATTCAATTCTTGAAAAATTCCTAAGTGAAGTTAGTGGTATCGAAAACTGATAACCGACTTGACAGCATCGCTAAATTAAATTGGGATTCTGATCCAAGAAAGTCGGAAATTGTCACCCATTTATTTATTTTTTTATTATTTATAATTATTGTTTTCGGTGATGAGAGCAATTAAAACTGACATAATTCAGTCTCATCTGGAATAATCTTTCTGGCATGGTAATGCAGAACTTTCACTATTCGAATTACATTGTTTACATTTTTACGACTTAGAGAATAATTATTTGGAAAACAGGCCAACTCCATGGCCTTAAGAATCTTAAGATTCTTCCCATCCCAAAAGCAAAAAATGGCACTCTGTGGTTTATATCTTCCATGAGGAACCAGTGACTTATTTCTTACAAGCTCCTTAATGAATACTCATTGATATCAGCTTCTCCGACCAGTGGTGTACTGAACCATTCCATATCTTTCTGACTCAACTAAAATTGCTCCCTCTGTTAACACATAGCAAACCCTGATTCAATTCAACTATGGAATTGGCGTTGACAAAATGCCGTTCTCATTCCACGCGGCTTTCACTTTGTATTCAATAATACACTTCAGTTATCACTATTCCATCAGAGTTGAAGTATATCTCGGCAGTAAGTAGTGTATTCACAGGGTCGGAGGCAAAATTCACAGCCTTTCTCGACTTATTTACTTTCCCCATTAAGGAAAAATGTGTCGCCTAAATCCGGACAAAATCAAGCAAGGTAAAGAGCTTCGATACCCGGGGCTACAAATTATCGATTCCCTTTCAGCCCATTCTCCTTAATTCCTTATTGAAACCCACATTCAGATACTCTGGCAAGATCGAACATTCAAATTCGGAACCATAATTACTTAAAGCTAATCTCCGACCAAACGGGTACCTCATAGCAACAGTAAAGCTTGTTATACTTTGAAAATAGTGCATTCATGAAATAAAACACTGTTAATGACCATTTGGTTAGAATGGAACACAAACTAGAACTCGATAAAATAACGAACACAACAAAATAAAATCAGCAAAACAGAACTAAGTCGATTAATGAAAGGAGAGGGGAAAAATGAGGTGATGCTACGATGGCGATAGAATATAACACAGAAAAAAAAGAGAAATAAAACACATATCACAGTGAAATGATGATTTAAAATGCGTAACAAATAAAACTTAGAATGAGAGAAGAGATCGGTTGCTCATTACTGTCTTCTACTATGCGATGAAGGTGAGATATTACTGGCAAAGAGGAGGCCTCTAGACCCTGACAGTGCATCTGAGGCAGAAAGTGAGGCTGCGGAGAAAAATTCTCGTGGAGGTGAGGATCCAAGGGAAAGATGGAGGGGTGGAGGATGGAGAGAGATGATGGGAGACACTTGGAGGTCAGGAACACACCACACCCATTCATCACGAGTGCTCAATGACCAGGGGCAGGAACGAGCTCGCATAAAATCTGGAAGTTGGGAGCGCAATTCTTGATTAATATGACTCACTGCCATCTAACGTAGAAAGAAAAGAATCCATCGTTATCAATCGATAATCACGTCAAACATCAATTTGTCAAATAATCCACTGGTAATGATATTAATTTAAAGGACTCCATTTGTAAAAAAAAGTGTCTACAACCCCCAGGCTGAAAGCGGAGAAAATAGACCTCTTGATCGCTCAAGTATCACGAAATATGAGTTGACCAACTGAGGAATCAAACGAGAAATTTGTTTTCAATACATCTTGAAACAGAGATTTTGATAGCAAATGGTTAACATTCAATAAACTAAGTACAAGTTAACTCAATTTCAATAACCCAGAAAACCAAGCAAAGTACGACAAACATGAGTAGATCTTCAACTTACCTGTTCATTTTGAAAAACAGCCTGACAACCAGAGCAAGTAAACATATTCTGAGGTGGTGAAGTAGGGTCTAACCCTGGCAACGCTTTCCATCGCAAATGTAACTCAACCGAGCGAAACAATGCCGCCTCAACGCGTTCTGCATCCTATAAGTAAAAAGTATTCTACTAACACTAACTCAGTAGAGTGCTTATCTAAAATTATTGGAGAAATTTACCTTATAGTGCACACCAGACCGAATATGCATTCCATCGACGAATAGAACTCCAATTCGTTGTTTTAAAGAATTGGTCAGCTTCATATGGTGAGCTAAGTCATCTTCAATCTCCTTCTACAGTAGAAAGAGGAAATTTATTAAAATATATAGATTAAGCACGCGAGAAAATTCGGTTGAGCTTCACTTTACAAATAAGAAAACCAGTCAGTTAAAATAAAACAGCAACAAAGGATCATTTCAGGTCTGTGGGGTCAAAATGCCATTGTAATCATATTAAATTGTGAGTCAAACTATTTCAAGTTGTTGTTTCTTGTCTTCAGAGGTCACCTAGACTTATTCAATCGTTAGTTCAGGTACTCGATTCTGTTTTAGAAAAAAGCATAGATGATGACTTCGTCTGCAAAGGCAAAGATCACGAAATCAATGCTCATTAGTCCACATCCATGAGTATTGATGACTAATTGTCATAATTATTTCTGGTCATTGTGAGAGATTGTGGAAAGTGAGTTCCTAACAACAGAGGTTCTAGAATACCTTCCATCTACTCACTTCAATATTATGGAGAATTTAAGGGTAAAAGTGATAGGTTAACGAACAGCAAATAACAGTTGGATTGGAGACTAACCCGCAGGAGATGCCTCGTAACCACATGAAACACGACCTCCGTCCGTCCATTATAGTAGTATACCGATGGTGAAGAATTCGCACAGAGTAGGCACGAGAACTTCTTCTCCACTCTACTGATGAGTTGTGACCAATCCTGCGATTCCGGAACCCCCGATACCACTGGAGTTGATGTGTGGATGATAGGCGGTGAAGAGGAGAAGGCGCAATCTTCGCGGAGACTCTCAATCGGAGGAGGAGAGAAGTCGGAGGTGGAAGGTTCTTCAAGGACACACCCATTATCGTCAAATTCCTCGTTATCATCGTCCTCGTAGCTGTTCTCAAGGTCATCAGCTGTGACTGAAGGGGGCTTGATTATATGCGCGAAGGGTGGAATGAATGTGGCGTTGGGCAGAGTTGTTGATGGCTCCACCGTCACCGTGTTGCGAGATAGTGTGATCCATCGAACCTTAACTCTGGCCTATTGAAGGTACATGAATAGTGGGTAGTTTCGCTGCTACATAGATACAAGTGTGAAGTGACCCATCCTAGGTAATTTGAATTTCATAAATAACCTAAGGATCCTTATTTCCTCCCCTTATATTCTTCACCAAATGATCAAACACTTGGAAGTCTGAGAATAATAGTAATACCTGTAGCTTAGGAGATAAGTCCAACTTATCGATGAGATAATATAAACCATCGGAAAACAGGCGGATAATTAATAATACGGACAAATGAAGTAAGAGTACCAAGTACTTGCAAATAATGTGCATTGATTTAATCGATTTTATAATTTACTTCGAACAGGAAGTAAGTATATTTTTTTCCCTTTCCGAAAAGAAATTGTTCACTGTCAAAGAAAAGATACTAAATCACAAAGGCGATGGGAAATTTTTGGTGGTTCATTTATTGTTACTACCACACGAATAGCTTGAAAAAAAAATTTTCTCCTGCTTGATTTATTGAATTTCAAGGCAACTCAAATTCGAAATAAATCTCGGACACCCTATTTAATGTTCAAAGAGCAATAACCATATTGAGTTGTTAATAACCTTTTAATAGTATTAAATCAATAAAGAAACAATTCGAAGGAGCGGGTAAATGTCTCAGACTACTGTTGAATTTCTTAGCAATGGCTGTTGATAAATAAGTACTACCTATTTGTAGTAAGTACATTTGAATTCAGTCTTGCTGTTATTTCTTCCCTGATAAGTTATACCAAAGGGCAAAAATTCAAGAGGGGGGGGGGGGCAGAAGATTGCTTCGCAGATCTAAAAGAGACAAACACAAAGATAGAGAAAAAGGTAAGGTGAGGTGAGTACTGTGGAAGGGGTTGAATATGACATACAGTGGGGTCATGGAAGTTTGAAGTCAGAAGTCAACTGCCAGTTAACAGACTTTTTGTCGTAAGAGTATACGTTGTCCAGGGTGCACCACGTGGAGGTAAGTCTATCACACACCCTCCCCCCCCCCCTTCACTGATAATAAAAGAGCGTAAAACACACAAGCAGGAAGTAGTCCCCAAGAGTATTAAACAAGACAATATTTCATGGCATAAAAAATTTAATACCTTATTACCCAGCGTAACAAATTACAAGTAAATTCTCATTTGAGAGCAAATAATTCGAAAAAATCTGTCATAATCTTTTGGTTGAGGTGACTTCTATCGTATTCATTAAAGACGGAATTATTTAAATTCCGTAAACTAGGTTTACCTTGGAAGTAATTTAACTCATTTTATACAACTTTCAAGCATTTTCCTGCATTTTAAGTGTTATTTGGTGCTCAATAGACTTACCTCCACGTGGTGCACCCTGGGCAACGTAT